AGGAGACGGACCGGTAGGGGCCTACAGCACTTTCGTATTTTCTCTGGGAAAAGCAGATGTCTCATTCAGCAAGTTTTCTTCGCTATGAGGCAGGCAGCTGGCCTGCATCCCCGTGCCAAGGAGGGAATGGCACATCTGGGAGTCACAGGCTTGCCAGGCACATGCTGATTCCTTGGGCACAGCGGAGGACGGCTCTCGGGCCAGCACGTTTGGGGACAGCAACTCTGGAGTGGCTGGGCTTGCGCACTTACAGGTGGACCGGCCTAGGACAGGGCTACTCTGTCCAGCCACCACCACTGCTGACTGGGGAAGACTGCAGGCCTGGTACAAATAACAGCCGCAACAGTCAGTGAAGCATGAACAGTATTCAAGCGTATCATCAACATCACGCGACCTCCCCAAGACAACAGATTTTATGCGATGCTGGGCAACATCAGCCGAGCTGTTGTTAACATTCATTTGAGCAAGCTTTCTGAAAGAAAGCAGCTGTATTTCTCACACCAGCGCAGAAGGCCAGAGAGCTAACGGACACGTGGGCAAGCCCATAGGCATAAGTAATGCTGCACATGCTGGCATAAGGGGGACTGCTGCTCAAGGAAGTGTTAAATTCAACGCATGTCTGAGATAAAAACAATCCTTTTATGAATCAGGTCTTTCTCACAGTGAGGTCCCTGCCTAATACTTTTTATTCACCCACAAGAGAATAGGTAGACTGGCTCTCTCGAGGAACAAATCAGCTGTCCAAAATTTGGAGACTGTTACCAGGCAACTTAGCGGAAGCAGACTTCAAAAGAGGAAGGTAACAGTCCTTGGTATATCATGGTCAGGCTTTATAACTTCAGGAGGAAAGTGGAAGGCAATAGAGCGTGAAGCAGCCGTTATCACACTTCTGCACGCCTTTTTCTGGTAACGTTGAATATGGGCGCTCTCCTAATTTTCCTTAGTCATTGGATAAAGGAGAGAATGTGGCAGAGCATCAGCTTATCCCCAGCACCGTCCTGAGCCTGCCAGACTGTCACTGCACGCTTGCACTCTGCTGTGACAGCAGTGGAGGCCACACCTTCAGGCCTGGCCCTCCTCTACACAGATACCTCATCTACCACATCCTGACTTCTCTACACACAGGGCGAGACTTCACACGTTCCACGTGAGCTGCATCTTCAGACAACAGCAGGGAAAAGATACGGTGGTGGGAGAGAGCTGCAGACTTCCAAAATGCTGGCTTGCCCCTCCAAAGGGAGCTGTTCACATTACCTGCTTCTCCAACTTCTGGGCTCTCTCGGCCTGTTTTGCTGGAGCCCCGACTAGTAGACTCTGGGCTGGCAGCTCCAACAAACAGTTTCCATTTCCCTCGCTTGGAGGCCAGCCTGCGGGTTGCATCCTGTGAGGCTGACTGACTCCCATCGGAGAGCGGGCTGGAGCCCGAAACACTGCCATCTCCCTCCTCCAAGGCACGCAGTTCTGCCTGTGAAGAGACAAGATGGTGAGCGACACTACAGGGACCTGACCTAACCCAGAACAGCAGCCGTGGTGACTTGCAAGAGGTAGGGGAGACATACACAAAAGAAGAACAGAGGTGAATAGCTGCTGTAACGGGGACACTGTGGTAATAAGAGCAAAGACGGAGCAAGAGTTTGATCAGCTCCCAGCTCAACTAGGAGCCCCTGCCAGTAGAGGACTAGTACAGGAATAGCAGGGTCTCCCTCGAAGGAGCCATGAGAGAATTGCAAACATATATTTTCCTTCTGGTTTATTTTTAAAAAGCTCTTCCCTCATCTTCCCTAAGAGTCACTCGCTAACACTATTCTTCCACTGCAGCCACGGCCTTATTTCTATGACAAAAGCCTCCCTGTTACCTTCTTTCTCTCTAGCACCATCTCCAGCTCAAGGGTGTCTTGCTCTTCCTCTTCCTCACCGCTCTCCCCTGACTGCACCACACTGCACAGATCTTCCTGCAGCGTGTCTTCCAGAGGATCCCTGCAAGGCTCCGGCTCTTCAGGGGCAGTCGCCACTTCTTCTGCTTTGGCTTCCTCTTCTGGGGGTGGCTCAACTTCCTCTTTGCAGATCACCTTTCTTCTCCAGCGTTCTTCTTCCTCCTTCACCACATCAGGCAGGAGAGGTGCCAGGAGGGATGCAGCCACCCCTTTCTTCTCCTCCTCGCTGTTGGAGAGGGCTTGCACGCCTTCGTTCACTTCCTGCAGGGTGCACACAGGAATCAAACGCTGCGTGGGCTGACAGCAGCAGCGCTGCTCCCCGCCAGCCAACCCCAAAGCAAGATCTTCCCCAAGAAGCAAAGGAGACGCCGGCTCACAGAGGTACCTGGGGCCCCTCTCCAGCCTGCAAGTGCTCTCCCACGCACAGTGGGGAGAGCCACACACAGTTGTGGGGACCCACCCACAACTGAGGGAACTAAAAAGAGCACCTACGGGCCTTGTGGTAGCAAGTACCCAGAGCTTAGATTGTTTGGTGACTGACCTTCTTCACCTCTCGCTTGGTAAGGCTGGCCCCACGGCTCACACTGCCTGTAGCGACCCCCTTCTCCTGGGGGTACAGGTCCGTAGCCACTACGAAACTCCCATTGGCACCTGCCACTGCGCTGCTGAGGAAGAGGAGAGGGAGTGAAGGGCTGGCACAGGAACCACTCCTCTTTGTCTCCCCTTGCCGCTGATGGCAGGCCTCGGTGATTCTTACCTGTGCTGGTAGTGCTGCAGACCCTGAACCTGCGTCGCGAGATACTGCGGCAGCTCCCAGGTCACCTCGTTGCTCTGAGTGTTCCAGTAATAGTAACAGCCGGTGTTCTCGTCCCACACTTCCTGCCAGTCACCCATTTCCACGCCCACTGGTGGGGAAACAAAGAACGGCTGTCAGCCGCTGGGTGCAGCAGGGGACACCCACAGCCCTAGCACCGAGGACCTACAAACGCGCTCACCTCCCGCCAGCGAGCACTGGGTGTCATACTGCCACTCTGGGGCCTGAGCAGAGCCTGTGCCGTTGGCAGTGGCCGAGGAGTGACCTGAGCCAGGCTCCTTGGGCTCAGGGCGCGGAGGCGTGGGAGGCGGAGCGGAGGCCGCGGCCGTGGACTCAGCAGGCTGCGGAGGAGCTGTGATGGCATCGATCTCCTTTAAAAACATGAACGTCACAACGTGAATTGAAATCCCAGAGGAGAAAACAGGTTGTCTGGGTAATGGGACAACCAATGTGCTTACCAGCAGGCAGAGGACAACGTCAAGGACTGTGAAACCACCCTTTTTACCTACAACCCTCTTCCTTCCCCTGTGATGCAGCTACTTTACATGGAAAAAACTCTCCTCCACCCTGTCTCCCCACTGCGCTCAGCACTTCCCAGAGCCACAAAAACAAGCCTCACTAACCGCCAGAAAGTTTGCCAGCGTGCTGTCAATGTCTGCTGAATTATTTCCATTTGCGTCTGTGGAATGTGCCGATTTCTCAGGAGTTTCACCCTCCTCATCATCGCTGTCTGCATACGCGCCAAGTAAACACAAGCCTCCTGGTAGGGGGAAGAGGAGAGCGATAAGCTCTGACGGGGGTATATTGTGAAAGGGAAGGTCAAAGCAGTTCAATGTCTGGCTAGCATGGTTTTCCGGGTGAGGTAAGAAATCTGTGTGTGTCAAACTAGAAAAAGCTCATGGAGAGCATGCAAGGGAACAGAGCGTAAAAAAAAAAAAATCAAAAGCAAAGAGCTCTGTGTACACGTCTGTGCCTCTGCTCAGCACACTCTGCCTCCAAGCCATTTATTGTGAGCTCCCCCTGGATGTACACGGAGATCAGGGCTCATCCTGCTGCAGAACAGAAACGGATCCAACCAGCCGCTTGGCTGGATTCTCTATCCCTGCTAATCCTGCGGAACAAACAAGGAGGGAGCCAACCCCTTCGTGACACAAGGAGGAGCGAACTGCGCAGCCAGAGCGGCACGTCGCCATCACAGAGCGAAGCCAGGCCGCGCAGGGCCCAGCGCGGTTGGGAGGCGGTGCAGGCACATCCTTCCTGCTACGCACATCCAGCCAGAGCCGCCCCAGAACCAACCCCCCCCTCCCATCCGACTTCCGCTCAGGGCTGGCAGCTCTAACCTTCCTAGGGTGAAACAGGCAGCCCCTCACGCAAAAATCCTAGAGAGAAAAACAGGCCCCACCCCTCTTAAAAACTACTGGGAGGGGTCATGTTTTTCCCCTCTCCAGCAAACTGCTGGGGTGGGGGAACATCCTCCTCCTCCGCCCTAAAAAACATTGGGACGGGTGGGAAACAGCCCTCCCACACTGGAGGAAGAAAAAAAAAAAAAACCCCACTCTGTAACACCTCCAAAAAGTTGGGGGGGGAGCTATCCTCCCTCCTCCATAAAAAAAAAACACTAAGAGGAAAAAAAGTCATCTCCCTTTCAGTAAAAAGAAACGCTAACAGGAACACTCATCTCTCTGTCCCAGAAGAAAAAAAAAAACGGTGGGAGAAGAGACGATGTCCCCTTCCCCCCCAACAAAACGCTTTAGGGGACAGGCACATCTCCTCCAAAAGGGAGGAGGACTTACAGGGGGCAATCTCTGCATCCCCCAAAAGCACACTTCAGGAGTAGTAAATGCACCTCGCCCCTCCCCCCAAAAACACTTAAGGAGCAGAAATCACATGCTCCTCCCTCCCCCCAAAAAGACATTTAAGGGGGGGCAAGCACACATCCCGGGAAAAAACAAAAAAGATGATTAACCGGGGCCGAC